TGCCAAATATGGATGATCTACATGAGAACGATCCATTTTTGGAGACAACATTCAGGCCAAGGTCTAAAACGCCCTAACTATACAATAATATCCAACTAACATAATTACTGACGCATACATTGTTTCAGAGATTGGGTGATCCAAAAAATTGAAACAATGGTCGAAAAACTATTATCGAGTATAGCAAACGGAACCCCACCAGTACTTCAAACTGTGTCAAATGTAAAAAGAAGAGAATGTCATACCGAGTAAAATTAAAAAAAAAAAATTGTTTTTTTAACATGCTTAGTTTACGTTTGAATTTTGACTGTGCAATACTATTTATTGTGTAGATATGATGTACAAAGTGGTACACTTCGAAGAAAAAGTAACAACTTTAAAGATGTTTCGTTCTTGAAAAATCCGAGAGGATTTGCCATCATTATTCGAATACTTGATATATGTCATGAACTTCTCATTCAAGATGTGACTGCCACAAAAAGGTATAACAATGTAAATTAAAACTTTAATTCGGTCATATTAACATATTCTAATTAAATACATTAGAGACATATATTACAAAGATGTTCGACTGTTCGGCAATCAGCACACGGTTGACGCGGTATTTATTTGATTTAGTTTTTAATTTTAAATGTCGTACCTTTTACATATTAAGTTTGTTATTATCCTTAGGCAATAGATGAATTAGCTTGCCTTTTTCGTGTTCCGCGGGCTTGTTTGAATGTGGTAAGAATCTATAAATTGACTTTGCTAATTGTTTTGATTACAAATTCGCTCATATCTGCTCTTTCGTCGCTTAACAGACTGCTTCAGCTAAAGGTTTGGTTGCTGGTGCTCTCAAAATTATTCAAAAAGACAAGACAATACTGAATTGCCTATCGACGAATAATCAAGTATGCATACTTCATACATATGTTTCATTCGGTATAATATTAAAATAATCGATGCGCTATTTATAGGGGATACTCATACCAACTGATCAAATTGATCATATCCTTTTTTTTTTTTTTGTCTTTTAATTTCTTGTAGAATTTTATATTATCTTGACTACTAATAAATACGCGTAGAAACAAATGCCGAATTTGTTCTTATTGTTGAAAAAGAAGTGATGTATTTCATTTACAGCGATTCTTCACTTTATTAAAACTAAACAAATAATAACCCATTCTTCTATAGGCTACATTTCAATATTTGCTGTCCAGTAGAATATTTGAAAAATTTGGTCCTTGCATAATTATCACTGTACGTAAAAAGATACTGGATTCTATTTAGCAAATTATTAATGTTAACTTTCGTATTTGTTACGTAGGGTAAAGGGTATCCGGTTCGTATTTATTAGTACATACAATTCATTAAGAAAACTTTATGATAAATAATGTCCATTCCTATAGGATCTTGCGACTCGCCAATTAGTTAAAATACTTGGTGATTTACGCCGTAGTAATGATCTGATAAATTCATTCAAAACTATTCCAATCCTTGGCTTTTTCGATAATGATCCGTATGGTGAATAGCTCTATTAATTATATTTTCTTATTAATTTTAACTAATATCTTAATATCCTCGTTTTTTTTCAAAATAAGGGATCGATATTCTTAGTGTTTACAAATTTGGATCGACGGTAAATTGGTCTATCACGTAAATGATTTGATATGAATTTACACGATAAATTATGAATCATTAATTCAGGCTATGTCTTTTGATAACGAAAACTTGGCAACACCTATTATAAAATGGCTCGGATTACACTGTTCCGATTGGCGAAAGTTAGTTAAGATACAAAGATATACATTGAAATACAGTAGTTATCTCACATACTCCTAAAAATTTTAATAAATTATAAATTTCAGATATAACATTTCTAAAAATACGTTACTTCCTCTCACATCAGCGGACCGAAAAAAGGCGTATCAATTACTTCAACGTGAATATTTTCAAGATGAATGGAGGTACCTAAATAATTTTTTTCTATCATAAAATATAATTTGTCAATCAATTTATCATAACGATTACAGGGACGAAATTTGTCGAATGTTATATATGGAAAAGAAAGCTGAAATGCAAAGTCTGTGCGAGAATGATGATATATTAAATTATTTATCGATGAAATTTAAGAATCCCGATTCTTGGTTGTAAATATTGTAGTTATAGGATAATTTTATCATATCTGATATAGACTATTTTAAAAAGTTTATTCAAATTGGACTAAATGCTGAAATTAAGAGTCGACTGCTGATTCTTAGCTGCATATAGTAATTAGGACTTTGGTATGTGCCCTATTTAAAACGTATGACTAGGGATGTTAAAAGCCCGGTCCGGTCCGGTCTGACTCCATGAGTCGAGTTTACAGCTATTATCATAATTCCTAGGACCCTGTAAATTTTTCTGCCGATCCGGTTAAGTTATTGATTCGGCATGATCCGTATAATAAAATAAGCTATTTTTATACGTATTGTAATGACTACGAAAACGTACGCCTTAAAATCCCTACTCTGTAGGGTAAACCGGGAAGGTTTGCGTAACGTTAAACGATACTATTACGATAATACCTCGAAAGAGGGCGTAGATTTGGCGAGCGAAGTATATACTTTAGTGTATATGTTTTATTAGATAGATTATATGCGATATATCTCTTACATGTCAATAAATGCTACGTTTATATAGTATTTACATATCTGCTAGTTCTGCTAAATCTCCTCTATCTGCTAATTCTACCCTATCTACTACGTCTACTAAATCTAATGTATCTTTCCGATCTACTGTTATTACCCGATTCAGACGTATGCATTCATATGCACCCAATCTATGCTATAATCGTCGATCCTATTTACAGTCGATACAGTATCATACATATATTAACGTTAACGATTTTAAATTTTCATTCGAATGCTTGTCCAAAAATGTTTGGTGTGCTTTAGTTTGTACGAAAATTTATGGA